TGTAGTGTAATTGATTATGAGACTGTTTGAGCTTGGCTTACGAGCCCTAGTTTAACATGTGTTCAACCTAAACCTAATATCCTCTTAATCTTAGATTTATTTGGCGATTCTTAACCAAATGATCTAATCACTAAGGCAGGTCTTTTCATAGTGTTTAGATAATCAAGCCATAAGTGATTTGCCTATAGTTGGCTAAGCAGTAGGCTAGATTGCTTTGAACCCTTTTTTTGTTTTGGTTAAAACTCACGTAGGGGCCTACGGGTTAATATAAAAGGAGAATTGTAAGTGCTTAAATATCCATAAGCTCAACTAAAAATACTGCCTTTGAAATAAAACCTAGAAGCTATTGGTTATATCTATTACAACTAAACAAAAAAAATGAACAAACAAACCAAAGCTAGCCCAAACGATTGAATCAACCAAAGGAGCAGCAGAGCCAGAGCAAGTAGGAAAAATCACCTGAAAAAAGGACAAAAACAGGCTAAAGCAGAAAAATGTCTAGAACCACATTACCATCAGAACTGCACAAAGCAGGAGCCCCCGAAGAAGCCAATGATCGAGCTAAACCAACCAACAAAGGAAAGCAGGTCACTCGACCAACCGGGCCAAATAAAACCACCCAAGACAACCACACTCAACACATGAGGAAAGGCCGAGGGACCAAAAAGCAGAGAAAATATCAAATTAATTTTTTTTTTTAAATTTTCACCACCGACGTTTACCACCACCATGAGAAAAATATTTTTGAATATTTCGACTCACATTTAGACTACACATCTCATCAAAGACATCATTCGAACCATCTAAATCATCCCCAGCATTCCCACATAGCGAGGGGAAGTGCCCATCTAGCTAGCCAATCTGATTGATCCTCACAAGTTAAATTAGAAGCTAATTGATATTTCAAGTCATTAGAAGAGATAAACATAATCAGAATGTCAACAAATGGCTCATTCCCAATACAAGCAGTCGGGTGAACAAAGGGATTATTTATAGCATCCTCAACCACCTTATCAAGATCAAGGGGGCTAAACACCCAAATCAACCAAAGCAACATCACTCTCAATTGGGACATCAGAAACCAAACCAACTGACTGACTAGAAGCATCACAACCAGCAGGTTCCAAAGAACTAGAAAAACCATCAGAATTCAGAATGGGAGACATAGTAGGGCTAACAATCAAACTAATTATACAAGATTCATGATTCAAATCCTCAGAAATACCCTCATTATTGACACATGAGGAAGCCACATGGCAATTAGAGACCAACGAAAGAACTCCCACCACAGCAGGATCAACCTGAACCCCCCATCAGTAGCACCAACAACATCAGAAAGGCCACTAAAATTCACTATCACCTGAACATCAATCCCAGACACCACCACCCCAAGATCAGAAGCAACACTAAAAACACCACCATTATACCCATTAACCAACACTCCATTAATAGAGGAAATAGGACATAAAAAAGGGAAAGGATTACCAATATTATATGTGTTAGTAATAACATTTCCAACTAAAACAACCATTTCCAATATAACAGTAGCATTCCCAGTAACATTCCCCTTAGACGTAGGAGGATTAGAAGTAATAGTCAAAATAACCGGTGGGACAAAAGACTAGGGACGACATTCACCCTTAATATAACCAATGCATTTACAAGAAACACAAAATGATAGAAATTCTTCTATCTCAATCATCTGAATGTACGTTAAATTTTTAGGTCCTAGCCAGACTTTGTTCGTATACTTTTTGGCAATATCAAACTCAACTAAGACACATGCAAGGGAGGGCCAAGAGCCCACAGAGGTGGCATTGTCAACTTACTCAAACAAAATAATATTTTAAAAGTCATTATAAGTCTAATTTTTAAATCATATTTGCCATATCATAGATATTAATGTGCTCTAATTATAGTAATTTTTTTCTAATTATATGGATAGTGTAGATATGAAAGCAAGAAACTTATTATTTTATTATAATTCCTTAAAAAATTGACACATGTCGGTATAAGTGGATTTTCTAGGGTTAGGTATGTATTTTAAACCGATTTCATCATAGCATTCTCGACATACTGGGCTATTTTATGTATATTTTTTCATAATTTTTTAATCCCTCAATTTGAAGATACAAAATAAATTTTATGAATTTTATGTTAAAATCTAAACAATTAGCATACTTATCAATATACCCTTTAGCTTGTTTTATTATAAAAATCAAATTCCACTAAAAAATCTTCATACATGACATTTCATTTCATTTTCCCCAAACCAAAGAAGAGAAGAAGGAAAATAAGAAGAAAAAGAGAAAGGAGAGGAGAGAGAATCTAAGATTTAGATGTCTAAGAGTCATTTTGCTTGTCATTTAAACTAAAAAAAGTGTTCATCTCAAGGTAGGTTACTGTTACCCTACCTCTAATTTTAGTGATTTTATATTTTTTATGTTTTCTTAATTTTTATTTGGTTAGAATTTACAAAAGTTATTATATCTCATTTTTGTATTAAATGCCTACCATAAAACTTTTAGTAACTTATAGTTTTAATAATTCTACACATATTAACAAGAATAGATTAAAATTTCACTATGTATTTTTGTATTTTAAGGAAATATCCTAATTTGAGAAATTTAGATAAATATGAAAATTGGTTTAAAAAATTATCAAAATCTTATAATATCAGAGTATTGCATGCATACTTGATATAATTTATTCATTGTGGTTATATATATGTGAACATAAGTATATTGATTTTTCTTATGAATATATAATCATGATTCATATGTACATTTTATATGTACTAGATTGATGCAATGAGCTAAATATTAAGCATAATATCACTTATTTATTATGAGATATATGTTGTGAAATGTGTGTATGTAAGAAAGGTTGGTCATAAATGATTGACTAATTCAGATTTATTTTAGATATGTTACCATGTATAAGAGGGTGAGCCAACAAGCTTTCCTTTAAAATAAGCTTTGTAGTGTAATCCAAAATGACATGAGAATGGAGACATGAAGAGACATGTTGATATTGTATGATATGTTGATAGGTAGGAAGTGATTACTTTTGATATCAAAGACACCGACCTAAATGATTTGTGATATGTTTGATTCTTGAAAACTAGACTAATATGATTAAGACTGATTCCTATAGAGTTGACATACATGATTGAATATAGGAAAAATGCCACAGATAGTTGGATGTCTTATCTTTCTTATTGTGCTTAAATGAATATATGCATAGTATCGATATTGTACGATATGCATATGAATATGACAAGTATACATATTTTATGAACTAAGATAGATATAAATTGTTCTATAATTAATGGGTATATATATGATAAAGTTTAGTGACACCTTGTGTATAATTATTGATTATTAATCACTCCTCTTAAGATATATAGTTGTATTGATGTTTACTAATCATATGATACATTATTGTTTCATTGATTATTATATATATATTTTTAATTATATGTTCATACTTATATTGACTGAATGATTACATGCATATTATTTCTAATGTATTACATTGATTTCAGTTATAAATTCTAGGAACCTACTAAGTTGTTACCTCACTTAGTGGTTTTACATATTTTCAGGAAGTGGTCATGACCCAGTGGAGTGAGGATGGATCAAGGATTCTAGTTTTATTTTATTTTTGCATTTTCTTTACTTTTATTATTTTATACTCAAGAGATAAAAGATAGACTAATGAATGTATGGATTAAACTCTTGGCTGTTATGCATAAATTTTGAGAGAAAAATATAGTTTTATATTTTGATGTATATACTTTTTAATTACTTCCGTTGGATTGATTTTTATTGATGAATTCATAGAAGCTCTCATTGATTAATTAAGAGATTAAAATAAACAATTCTTTCAAAATTTAATCACTGGGCGTTACATCATGATTGTACCAAAAATTAAAAAAAAAATCTCTATTAGCTAAGATAAATTAAATCATGAATCCTTATCTACTCAACTAGCTCTTTCACTTTCCCCAGACCTAAAACAGAGTACATAATAGGTCTGAACAACCATAGCTCAATAACTCACACTCATCGATCTAAATTTTCAATAATTCACTTATTATGCATTAAATTGAACTTAACATAGTTCATAAGAAATGTATCGTATTGGGCACAATCTTAATCACATATAATTGAAATAAAGCAAACTGTATATAAAAATAAATAAATAAGTACTTCATATATTAGAGCAAAAAGTAGTCATTTTTTAGGCCCTTATACATCCCATTATAAATACATATCAAAATTCATTCTCTTATGACTCAATCTGCTAGCATATAAAAAATAAGCCCTTATGACTCTCAAATATTTAGCACATATCATATATTTAAAAGTTTAAGCCTTTTACGACTCCATGTTCATTCAACACCAGAACATCCTCTTACATCAAAACTCTATAGTAAATGCATATTTTCATAAATACACCCTTATATCATCATCTTTTTTCATTATAACACCGCCTTCTATAGTTCCTCCCAAAAAAATAATAGCCATTATAAATACATGTACAATAATCCATTAATTTTATTAATGAAAAAAGGAAATACTCCATATTTATTTTAGTTTTGTTATGATCTTGAACAATCATCTTGCATTAAATATTAATGAGTTATTATTCATTCAAAATGAGTTTAATAACTATAGAGATATCCAAATAAATATAGTGAAATTTTATCAAAATTATAGATGCCCAATATACTTATATTGAGCAACTTAATTTTGATTGTTAGTAAAAATTTTAAATTTAATTTATATTGAGTCATGATATTAGAATACTTAGAAATTAAAAAGATGCTATAAAAAAACTTAGAAATAATTCTAAATATATAAATACATAATTAATTAATAATTTTATGGAAAAGATTTGAAATTACTAAATTAGGATAATTATGTTGCTATGAATGCAAATTTAGGGTATTACTATTTCAATATAGATGCGATAATTTGGGACAATTATAAGGATAGCTAACCAAAAGCTCACCGTTTAATCGGACAAAATTCTTCCTTTTCCTTTTTTTATCCTCTTCCCGGAGGGGAATGGGCGAGCGCCTTCTTCTCCCATGGGTGACGAAGCCTCGTTTCTTGCCGCAGAAGTTTCCTAACCCTTCGCCTTCTCAACTTTCTTAGGAATTAAATAAACGTATTTAGGGTTTCTCTTCCGTGCTCGATTGCTTATTGGATTTTCTCTCTTTCTTATACACAAGTTAATTCGTTTTCCTAACGGACTTCCTCTTTTCCTCTACCCCTTTGGTCCTCCTCACCGTCGCGTTTTTGTTCGGAAATCTACCAAAATTTCTTCTTTTGGCCGTTTGTTGGAGGAATCTTGTCATACACCTCCCTTTCTTGCCCGACGGATCGGGAAAATTCTTCAAGTCGTCTCTTTGTTTCCTTGCGGTACTAGGCGTGTGGATTTTGAACTTGTATTTCTCCTTGAATCGTTGTCATTTGCGATTGTCTCACGATTTTGCTGTCGGGTTTGAGAAAGTTAGGGTTTTGGAGTTTTTTTTTTTTTGCCTTCTTTTGCCAAAAGGGTTTTTGAATTCTGCTTTGCTTGGCATAATTTTGTTTAAGGTTGGAGTTTTTAGTTAGGTTTCCGCTCGATAAGGCTCTGCCTGTCGGAGGAGGTGGGAAGATGAGTTCCAGGTCTACCATTTCTACGGACGAGTTCGTCCCCGGGAGAAAGCTGCTGGTTCATATATCTGAGAATGGCCACAGCTATGAGTTTGAATGCGATGGATCGACCCCCGTGCAGGCGATCCAAAGGTCGATTGAATCCCTTTGCGGGGTGCATATCAGCGATCAACTCCTCCTTTGCCGTAACACGTCACTGGATTCTCAGCAGTCGTTAGCGTATTACAAGCTCCCACAAGATGATAGCGAGGTTTTCCTATACAACAAGTCCAAACTCCATACTGATTCTCCTCGTCCATCGCCTGAAGCTATTGACATACCCAATGCCGCAATCCCTGCCCCTCCTTCGCCGTCACAGAGCCCTCACCCCTTGGATGAAGCGTCGGATCCTGCTCTAAAGGCTTTGGCTTCTTATGAGCGTCAATTTCGTTACCATTTCCAGTATGCAAACGCCATATATGGATGCACACGTACAAAATTCGAGGTCTGCAAAAGGCTGTTCAGAGAGAAGCAGGTTCAGCAGAGAGCATTAGAAACTGCTCAGGGAAATCTGGGCCATACTTTTAGGAAGTTACAACAAAGATATGCTGAATTCATAAGGTGTTTTAACCAGCAGCATCGTTATCACTCTGAACTCTTGACTAATTTTGAGAAGGATGTGGAGAGATTGCGGACTGTTATGCTTCTTCCTTTGCTTCAAAATGATTCAAGGAAATGTTTGTTGGATCTTGTGAAGGAGAATGAGCTGCGGAAATGTGCAGATAATTGTTTCACTTCACATAAGCAGTTCGAAAATAAAGTTTTACAGTTGAAGCAGAATTTTGTTGAGCTGAATAGAAGGGTAGATGATGTGTTTCTTGATATGGATTCTATTGGTACTAAGGATTTGGAATTGATGCTGAAAGACCATGAGAAAGTCCTAAGTGATCAGAAAAGTATAATGCAGTCATTAAGGTTAGTATTAAAAGGATGAACTACAATCATATTCTGCTATACTGTCAGCATCCTCCCATATTCCATTATGTAGTTGATGAAACTTCGTTATTTTGTTTACTTGAAGTGTTTCAGATTTTGTTAGCATATGCTAACTGTAAATATCTTTTTTTATGCCTTTTTGTTCCTCATTTTACACAAAATGTTTGACCTGAAAAAGGCAACTATAGCGTTAAGAGTAGAAACATGTGCAATAACTTCCATTGAATAAAAGGATGAACTACAATCATGCAAAAAACTTTTACTAGCAATTATTTCTTAAGGTTATTCTCAGTGTATGAGGCTCCTTCAATGCAAAGTATAATGAGGGGATGTACAATTTTCTATTTGCAGTGCAAAGAGGCTCTCTACTGGATTCAAACTCATTACCACTAAGGCAACCAAACTTCTAGGTCACAACCTGACGTTGAAATTTCCTTGGGTTAACATAGATTATTACCTTATTTTTAAATAGAAGAAAAACAAGTTCATATTCTCCATTATGGGTTTGGTCTGGATTATTTCAATTCAAATAGAAAGCATGATTTACTGCATCTCTTTTAGATGTCCATTATTATTTTTTAATGGCACAGTATGGTAATCTTTCGTTTAACCTGTTCTTCCAGAAATTTATGTATTTAAAAATGATCACTTGCTATTTAAGTTGTATGCATGCTGGATAATTTAGCAACATTGTGTACTTTGTTTTGTTCATTTTACATGTTCAAGCATGATAACATATGATCTTATGGAGCTGTTGAAAACATTAACTTTTTAACCTTGGAAGAAAATATTCAGATCATTTGATTATATTTTTCTTTGGCATTTAATCTAGTTCAGAGCAAGACTTCATTTACTTGTTCACATAGTTATCTTTTGGATACAGAAGTAAAATGTGAATGTGTTCAAGTTTTTACTGTAATAGTAGTTGAATCCTATAAAGTCGTATCCAAGAAAGTTCAAGGTTTTTCTTGATTCTAAAATATTATTTTATTTCCTAGTTTGAACAGTTTAACAGCTTACTAATCTCCATACTTTGCTTTTGTGAGGTTAAAACATAAATATCATTCCTGTTTGAATGGCAGTATAGTACCACTTTATGAAACTTTCTGCTCACATTTTTATCCATTTCTAACATTGTAATGTTTGGGTACCCTTTATCTTTCCTTTTTTTTTACAGTAATTTGTTCCTGTTTGTGTGTTTGTTATCAGAGCTTCTTCTATTTTTTTTTGCTCACGTCTAGATCACCTAATTTTAGCTTCCATTACCTTACGTTTAATGGTTGCCACTTTAGCACTGATAGAGTTCACCAGGCTGTTCAATGTCGCCATCATTATCCACCGTAGATTATACTAGGAAATAAGAGCTTTTAATAATTTTGAGTATTTTCTTTTTATATTAGTGACAATTTTCTTTTCTTTATGCTAAGTCTTGTTTGTATTTATTTAACATGTAAAGATGCTTCCCATGGTGCTCCTTGCGGACCACAGTTGATGAATATGTCATGGCCTACATTTAACCATGGTCAGCTATTGAGTGCTAGGCGCCACCATGCCTAGTTGAAACTTTGGATAAAAAGCCTAGTTTTTATGCTTTCTTCAAATTGTTCTTTGGTCTAGCTGTAGCCCCAACTAGCTTTTATGTGTTTTGGTTTTCCAACATAGATCATTAGATCATGGGTTTGACTCCTATGACTAAGTTATGGCTACTTGGGAGTACACTTGAGAATCTTGGGTGGCTGGACCTTACGATATAAAGTTGTGGTTGCACCTTATCCATTAATTTAGCTTTTGGAGAGGTTGGTTGCTCCAAGTGGACCTTTGTCAAACAGTCTCATTAGAGAGTCCATCTTGCCTTGGGTTTAATAAATTTTGAAATTTCATTGATTTAAATCTAGTTTGAGTTCGTCCTTGTTGTTGACTAACCTTAAACTCCAAAATATATCAAGCTGCTTTGTTGCCATTTCAGTATTTCTCTTTATGTTCCTTATCCTTACATCATTGGGGAGCTGTAGTTTTTTTTTTTTTTTGGAGAATTGGGAGAGGGGAAAGCTCATACAATGTGATGTGAATCCTTTTTTTGTGGTTGTTTCTGAATCGTGGTAGTATAAAGTGGGTTAAATGTGCAACAAATTGCTAACTGGGGCAGCCAGATTGGAATTTTGGTATATGTATATATCCTAGTAGCCAATAACTTAATGTAATCACTTTTTCAAGTAAAAAAAAAGCCCATGTGCATGAATAGAGTTTTCTACCAACTGTCTAATGAGTTTTGATGTTTTAATACTTATTTACAGGTACAATGCCAATGTTGATTGGTTTTTTTGATTAATGTTATTTGCTACGTTATTATGTATATGTTAACCCTTATTGTGGATTTGATTTTATGTTTCTCTATTGTTTGAAAATGAATTAGTTTGTTTCTTAACCATTGTTCGCTACTCCCTCTCTCTCTTTCTCTCTCTCTCTCTCTCTCTCTCTCTCTCTCTCTCTCTCTCACACACACACACACACACACTCTCTCACTCACTCACTCATTCACATGCACAGTTTCTGATTGGTATTTTTGATGAATGATGTTTGATTGTCTGTGTATAGACTTGAGAAGGGAGAAATGCCACACACTGAGATGCGATTCTTCCTTTTCTGTGATTATATCTTATCGATGGGACTACAAAAATGGAAGCAGGTGGTCCAAACCGAAATAAGTAATTTCCAAAGAAAGTTTCCTCTCAAACAGCCTTTTAAATAAGATTGATGCTTGAATATCTGTTTTGAGGTGCAATACTATGTTGATTGCTATGTTTGATGAATGCTGATTCAGTTTTTAAGTCAGTTAAGTTGTTTTTTTGGTGTTTTATCTTGTATACTTTGAAACTTGTTATCTACTTGATTATCTTTTTTCCGTTATTGCTGACAATGAAAATTAGTAGTTATTTGTTACATTGGCCTAAAGTATTTGTTTGTACTATGTTAGATGCATGCCTTTTAATTAAAAAAAAAAAACACAGCTCACCTTAGTCTATTGGTTGGGAGCTTAAACTACCAACTAACAGGTTTTGTGTTCGAGTCTTGTGTATGCAATGTGTGTGAGTCTGCCTTAATTGGCCTAAATGTCCCCCAAAAAAAAAAGAAATTTTATATTTTTTCAGACATATATTGTCTGATAAAAAAAACTCATTGTTTTTCAGCTGTCCTAGTTTTTCAAGGTTTTTGTGGGCATGTCCATGTTTTGCGTTATTCATATCTTGCATTTGAGTTTGTTGTTCATTGCGATAGGCCAACATGTGGGTCACCATGGCTGTTTCAGGGATAGTTTTTTTATGAAATCATCCTTTGTTTAAGTTTTTTTTGTTAATTGCTATAGATCACCATGGGCGCTTGAGGGGTTTTTTTCCTGCTACCAAAGCTGTGTTTTTTATGTCTCATACTTTTCTTAAGTCAAATGGTCCTATTGATGTTTGCAATTATAGAATCCATCTTAGTTTGAGTGTCATGGGAGGCTCATGATTTGCTCCAAGTTGTTTCTTATGGGAGCAAGGCTGTATGATCAACTGTGATTTGGATTCATACTTTGGTTATTTGTTAACATGATTGATTTTTTTTTTTTTAAATGGATGCAATGCTCATTCGGCATAGTAATCATTTTGCTTTGATGGATAAACTAGTTAATTTTCTCTTTACCAGTTGTGATGTTGCCATTGCTCATCCAACTCTTTGTATTTTTTCTTCTTTGCCAAGTTTTGTCAGGGGTAATTAGATTAATTGTTACTTGTGCAGCAAAGATGTCAACACCGTCAAAAAGCTTGCGGATGATTGCTTAAATTGTCAACCATCTAGGTCGCTTCGTCCTCATGATGCTATTTCAGCTCTTGGCCCCATGTATGAGGTTCATGAAAAAAATCATCTTCCCAAGGTGCAGAACTGTGATCACGCCATTTCAAAGTTGCTTGATAAATCTACAGCCAAGAAAAATGAGATGAACATCTTAGTACATTTCTGCATGCAAAAAGTAAAGGCTGCGCAGTTTAGCATTAAAGACATGATGAATGAGCTTCATGCTTTCCAGGAAGTAATGGGACACAAGGAAAAGGAATTTGATAATTTAAAGCTCGTTAATGGAATTAGCCATGCTTACAGGGCCTGTCTTGCTGAGGTAGCCAGGAGAAAATCATCTTCAAAGTTGTATATGGGTCTAGCTGGTCAATTGGCAGAAAGGCTAGCAGCAGAGAGGGAGGCTGAGATCAGAAGACGTGAAGGATTTTGTAAAGCATGGAGTAAATACATCCCACATGATATCTTAGCTTCTATGGGGTTATTTGATTCTCCTAGTCAGTGTGATGTTAACATAGTTCCTTTTGATACAAACTTGATTGATATTGATGTTGTTGATGTCGATCGCTATTCACCCCAGCCGATAACAGGGATTCAGCCTAGATATGAGAAGAGTAAATCATTTAGGAGCTACAGAGCAACATCTGTTGATGGCTCTAATTCAACTACATCTGAAGAAAATCATGTAGATTCTTCGGAGAAGGTCGAGTTAGAAGGCCTGATTGAAGGTTGCCTACCAGTAGACATTTCTGGAACCAGCAAGCTAGAAGTTGAAAATGCGAGACTAAAAGCTGATCTTGCTTCAGCAATTACCGTCATCTGTACTTTTAATGCAGAATTTGGATATGAAACCTTTGATGAAGTAGATTCAGACAATTTGCTGAAAACCATAAAGGATAAGACAACTGAGGCTCTGCATTCTAAAGATGAGTATATAAAGCATATCCAATCAATGCTGAATATGAAGCAGGTTCAATGCTCGACATATGAAAAACGTATTCGTGAGCTTGAGCAGAGATTGGCAGATCAATATAATGTTGGTCAGAAAATTTCAAGCGATAAAAATGCTTCTGAGTCATTAGTGTCTGCAATAAAAACTGAGAGCTATAGAGGCGATATTTATGGAGATGAAGAGGCTCCCAATGCTTATGTGTCGACTGTAACAATGGAAGAGGCTTCTTGTACATCTGCTTCTGCTGATCCAAGGCTTGATCTTATAAGTGCACAAACAGGTAAACTTGGTGATGGTGGTGATGAAAACATGATTGATTTATCGGGTATGCTAAATGTAAACTCTGTAGATCATTTACAAAAGGTTATAGATGCATCTATGCTGGAGCCACCACATGATCACCAAGCTTGTGGTGATGATGAAGAAGAGAGAGTTGGTCAGGAAGACAAAGAAGAAGTTGGTGAAACAGAGACAGAGTCAGTTAAAGAAGCACCACAATTTAGTTTGACTTCAGATAGTTCTGATGGCAGCACGAGGGTCCGTGGCATTTTCCCTGGTCGAATCTCAACTGACCTTAGTTTGGACTCGAAAATAAATGATGATGTTGTGTTAGAACTTCAGACCGCCCTTGCAGAAAGGTCCAGCCAGTTTGATATGGCTGAAAACAAGCTCAAAGCTGCTTTAGAGGAGATATGCTCTCTCAAAAGGGAACTGGAGATTAGACGAAATCTTCTTGATGAATCCCAGGTAATTTGCACGGGTTAATTTTTGTTAAACATATTTCGCAGTTAAATTAAACATATTTTATGAGAGACTCTGAACTATTCATATGTGGTTAATATAATCCTAAACTATCACATGTCTCTAATATAGTCCCTCGACTTTTCAAGATTGATCACAAATAATCTCTCCATTAAAATTGCTGTTCAAATTGATGGAAAGTTGGTGGTCGCTAGTCACAAAAGTTGTGGGAAGAGAGTATTTTAGGAAAATTAACAAATTTATAATTATACTTTTTTACTTGCATAGAATTGATCTTTTAATGAATGGTTCCTGGATTTTTTTTTTTTGATAAATCAGAAGAACAACCATATTAAAAGATAGGCCTTAATTTGTTGGGCTTTATGAAACATCATCTTGGGGTCTCAATTATTTTTATTTAGTTCCTATCGAAGTATGGAGTTTTAATAACTACTAATTTTTAGAGAAAGGATTAACATCTACTTTATATTCCATGAAACAGTCTAGCTGTAAGTAAAGCTTCTTTATTAGTTTGTGGGGAATTTATATAAAACTAGCTCAAGATTGGTATTTTAAAAAAATTACAATATCACAATTTTAGAAATATAAATAATTGTTTATTTATTTTATAAAAAAATGATAATTGATCATTATTTTTATATTTATAGATTTTTGAAACTCTAACATGCATGTCTGAGTTCTTTTATTCCTATTAAACTTTTTTCGTCAGAACTACGGAGCTCTAGACATAACTGTTATGTAAAGAAAAATAAAATTCTTGATTCACTGCCTTAACCTTAAACCCGATCTCCCTTCTTCATCTCCAGCTTGGTCTCCACAGCTCCATCAAAATTAGGTGAGGATTCGAGCATTGCGAAGGAATCTACTTACATAATTGAATTATCTTTAGCGTCAACTATTCCTGAAAGTTCCATCATATTTTAGCCAAGGGATCATTTGGGATTAATTTTGAGGAGTTGAGACTACATTGGAGATAGGTGATAGTATGGGAATATGACCATATATGAATGATCTAGGAATCATTTTGGTTTTTTTTTATGATTTTAATTGCCATATATGTTCTGCTGTTTTGTTTTCTGAATTATTGATTTTCATTCAAGATATTATTGATTTTGATTGTCTAATTGGCAAGAAAGTTTGTTATAACTTCAGTTTGCTCGTGTTACTATAGCATTAATCCTTTAACTGAATATTGTTGTCTTAGATCTAGGATTATAGGTTAATTGATTTGGGCTAAATTTGAGGGGAAAAATGTTTTTATTATGCTTATCACCAATTTCTATTTGGTATGGTTAGTGACATGCAGAATGCTTAATTCATAGTTCTTTTACTTTTCTTTTGGAAGTGTTGTTGTTTATTGATAATTTTCCTTTTTTAAGCCACCTATTTTGTGTGTATTAGTTAAGTGCATTTGTATTGCACGGTGCATTCTGATTAAATTAAATATAATTTTAAATTATTTTTGAACCATTTAACAGTTAGATGTTGTTTTAGTGGTAAAACTATAATTTATTATTTTTGTAAGCTTTCTGATTAGTTGGCGTTGGGCTAATATATTTTGAATTTTGAAATTTATTTGATTCAAATAAAGGAAACTCTAGATTTTTTTTTAGTTGTAAAATTTTCAAAAGGTGATCAAGCCATCAATGGATTAGCCATGTCCTTTATTTTGCATTTACATAGTTTTTTGCTCTAGAGAATATGTATTATTTGTGATCCAATAGTAACCTCTTCAAGATATGAAATGAGTCCACAATACAAGGCTAGATTGTATTTGAAAGGGGTTTTAAGAATTTTCTATAGGTTTCATAATGACCTAACAATCAAATAATGGTACCTCAACAGTTTTTTATTGCTGTAAATGACTTCTCCTAGGTTAGTTCTTTATTTTACAGTTCATTGCAAACACCATATTGGTTTCGCCTCTTTATTACTGAAAACGACCAGTGTTTGATAGTAGCAGTAGACAGCTATAACAGGTGCAGGAGAAACCGTTGGTATTAGTAGTTGCTAATAGCAGCGACGTAGGTACTCTTCAGGTTGCAAAGGGCTCGGCCTATGTTGTGGAGCGGTTGCAACTACAACAGACCACAATTTTGGGTGCTGTGTAGGTCGACACGACGGACAACTGTGGTGAGGGAAAGGCGGTTGGATTTTATCCTTTTGAATTGTTCTGATGTTGCACCAATTAATTTTAATAAGTCATGAAATTTTAGTGGTCTTACCTAACAAGTAAAAATGATTATGTTTGCCTGTGTGATTTTGTTTTTGGCAATTTGTCATACATTAAATTGGTAGATCTCATGATGTCACTTTTTTTTTATTACTGTAAAAACAGATGAATTGTGCTCACTTAGAAAACTGTCTACATGAAGCAAGAGAAGAGGCTCGTACTAATCTTTGTGCTGCTGAAAGAAGGGCATCAGAATATAATGCTTTACGGGCAACTGCTGTGAAGATGCACAGTTTATTTGAAAGGTTTCGGAACTGTGTCATGGCACTGGATGGAGCAGTTAATTTTGCTGACTCGTTACGCTCTTTCGCTACTTCTTTGGGAAGGTATTGTTACTGATTATACTCGTTAAATTACTTATGATCTCTTACAATATCCGTTTTATCAAACTGATTATCTTTCAGTTTGTTGAAATTTTCCCCTCAGGCTGGTGCTCTGTGTTCTTGCAATTGTGCTATAAATAAGAGGTTTTTCCCCCAATGATGGTCTTATGCAAATATTCTTTCATATAAAACGGCGGCCTTCTGATGACCTGGTTAGGAAAGTAGAGTTATTATATTTGATTTATGTTAAGAAAGGTAGGGGTGGACCTAAAAAGACTTGGTTAGAAAGTATTAGAAATGATCTTTCTTTATTAGATTTAAACGAGAATTTGATTTTTAACATGACACAGAGTAGAAGAAGGATTCATGTAGTGGGACAAAGACTTGATGTTGTTGTTGTATGATCAAGTAGATATGTTTAATTGTAATTTTCCCTGTGAATTGATAATTGAGATGTGCATTTTCATGTAAGCAGATACATGCTATGAAATCTAGATTTGCTCTAGTAAATTAACAATGAAGTTCAAAGCTTTTTGAGGTTTTTTGGCTAGTAGAAATTGTATGTATTCTAAAAGAAGTTTCCTCTTCAATGCTACTGGCACTCTTCAGGTTCCTGCTCCCCACCTTTCAGTACAGGATCTTTACTTCATCCCTCCGTTCTCATTTATTGTTATTAATATTAAAAGAATTAGCTTTAGGATATTCTGATGAAAACTGTTTTGGTTGATTCTCCATAAATTATACTCATCTGCCAATCTAATGACTTTAGAGGCCCATTGAATGCCCTAACCCAAAATTGTTGAGATTTACAGTTTTTAAGTTGTAAATGCTGTGCTACATTTTTCTGAAATTTCATGTTTCACATTGCATTCAGCGGGTCTGTGGATGATGAGGATGATGTGTCTGCCAACTTCAGAAAATGCATCATGGTCATTGCAGACAAAGCGGGCCTTCTCTTCCGTCGTACCGAGCATCTTAATAAGCAAATGGAGCATCAAAGAGAATCAATTGAAACCTTGTACAGAAAGCATCAGCTTGAGAAACAGGTATTTACCCAAGATGACAATTTGGAAGTTAATCAAAACCAGATGAACGGTGGTTTTGTTTATTCTTTTATTTATTTTTAATACTAAATACTAGCTGAAGTGTAATTTAAATTACTTGCCTTAATCTAGCTAGTGGGGGTGATTTTGTTAGTACCTATCTATCCCTATTGGGTGGTGCAAGTTCAGAACTTCAAACTCACGCTAGTTTTTTATTTTTTTATTTTTTTCAGGCAACAAATAATTTACTTTTGATATTTTTTTACTTGATTTGCCTTTCTCATTAATTCATATCCCTACTTTTTACTTGCCAAAACCTCATATATTTTGCATTCTATTATCTTTTGCTTAATATTTGCCAACCTCAATATCTCTAATACAATTATTTTACTTTTATCCATCTTAGGCTTCGTTTGGCACAACTTTCTTACTGCTTTCTAAAGCAACGTTTTAGTACAAAAAATTTTTGAAAAAAAAAAATTTCTATTAAAAAACTGCTTTAGAAAACAGTAAGAAAACTATTTCAAACGAAGCCTTAGTCTTACCTCATCTATCCAAACATTATCATATCAGCATAGTTGTCACTGAGTTATTTGTTTTCTAATTCTCTAGAATTCATGCAGTAAAGCTATTTTTTTTCACCATTTATAAATGTTTTCCAAGAGAGTCATCTTAGATGGTTTGGTCACATTAAACGGAGGCCTTCCGATGACCCGTTTAGGAAAATTGAGGTATTAGATTTCACTTATCTTAAGAAAGGTAGAGGTAGACCTAAAAAGACTTGGTTAGATAATATTAGAAATAATCTTTCTTTATTAGATTTGGACGCTAATTTGACTTTCAACATGACACAATGAAAAAAAAAGGATTCATGTAGACGATCCCATGTAGTGGGACAAAGGCTTGATGTTGTTGTTGTATAAATGTTTTCTTGCCTTCTTATACTCAAGCGGGCGAACGGGCGGTTGACGAGCGGAACTGAAATAATGGTTCAGTTTCTCTTGTGATTTGGAGTTCATGGATTTGATTCATGAAAATATCCTCGTTAACATAAAGCACAAATCCCTCCTCAGGCCTTAATGAGAACTTTATACACTGAGTTACATCGTTTGTGTTATACTCATAGATGAAAATTTTAAGTTTTTTTTTTTTTCTAAACTTTCCTTGTCATTTGAAACTGCACTCATTCTGTCAGACTGACTGATGATTTCTTTCTGAATTCCGCAACAGGCAAGCAAGGACAAGATATCATTTCTCCATATGGAAGTTCATGAGCTTGCTGCCTTTATTCTAAACCCCGCCGGAAATTATGAAGCAATTAATCGAAACCGTCCAAATTATTTCCTCTCCTCTGAATCCATTGCCCTCTTCACCGAACATTTGAGCAGACCAACTTACATAATCGGCCAAATTGTCCACATAGAGAAACAAATTGCAAGGCTTCCATCTTCTTCTCAAGTCAGCCAAGATGATCAAAGCTCGGGTAAAAATCCTTCTAACCCATTTGGGCTTCCTGTTGGCTGTGAATACTTTATAGTAACAATTGCTATGCTACCTGATACCATTCATTCTACTCCTTCCTGATCCTGCCTGTGCCTGAAATGAAGGAAGAAAACAAACTGTAAATATATGAATAGACTTTTCTTAGGCTATTTTGTAAATGTAACATCTATGTAAATATCTCCAACAAACCATCTGATCTGATGCAATATATAAGCTTGTAAATAATTGCCGGAAGGTTTATAAAGCTTAAGTTTATGGTAGTAATGTTATCCTGTGTTGCTATGGTTTTATAGCAACCTTGTTTCAGTCTTGCAGTCTATTATATCATTCCATTGCTCTTTATCTCTGTTAGATTTTTTTTTTATTTTTTTTTAATTGTATATCTATGTTGAATTAAACAAGTTTATATATTATTGTTCACTTATTATATGGTAAGATTAGGGCCTTTCATCACTTTGAAAATTGGACATTATCTATTATTGCTTTTTGCATGGAACCTTTGAGGAAGTATTAGTCAAATAGAATTTGTGGTTACTGTTTGAATAATAAAGCAATGAGAAAGTTGTCCCAAACGAGCTCTAAAGTTTCATTTGGAATTGCTTTTGTTTTGCTTTTGAAAGCAATTTTATAGTATAAAAATTTTTTGAAAAAAAAAATTTGTATTAGAAAGTTACTTTGGAAAACAATAAAAAATAAGAAAATTGTCTTTTGAATTGAATTAGTAGTTGCTTAGGAAGGCTTCATTTGTGATGGTTTTTTTATTGCTTTTAAAAGCAACTTTTAAACATAAAAAATTAATCAAAGTAATAAAAAAAACAATGGCCAAAAGTTGCTCTAAATAAAACCTAAATATAACTTTGTGCATCACACTTTGAGAACTAAATAAGGACTCTAGACAATAAGTACTGAAATAATTAACAATAAATTTTCTTCTTTAACATGTTTTTCAGTTTAACTCCAAATCTAAGCTAACTTATAATTAGATGGGACCTATGATGCATAGACACGGACACAGTGACACAGATACGGGACACGTCAATTATTGAAAATATACGATACGGACACAGGTTGGACACGGTATTATAATTTTTATATTTAAAAAATAGTGTATAAAAATTAAATAAGTGTAATTTTTAAAATAATTTGAAAATAATAAGTAATTTAACTAGAATTTATGCTTAAAATGATTAGTATTAGGATATCGAGAGTCAGGCGTTGATGCCGTTTATCAGTCACCGAGAGGAGATAAAATACCTTCACGGTCAAAAAGAAATGAAAGTGAGAATATTCGATGATTGGGTATTAAGTGCGGATGTTGATTTGGTGTTTTGGATAGGAAATAAGAAATTTAGTTTAAATTCCGTCAAATATAAGAAATTATATTTAAAAAAATTCATAAAATATTTAAGATATGTGTGTCAGACACGCGTGTCCAATTTGTATTTAATATTTTTTAATCGGACATGTTTTTCAGGATGTCCGACACGTGTCAGAGGAGTGTCGAGCGAGTGTCGTGTCGGATACGGTGTCGGACATTGCACACCTCTTTGAGGAGAAGTATCAGTGCATTATAGGATGGGACAAATATGTTCATATTTCATTTATTTTTTGTTATTTTAACACCCACACTTACAAATAGGATGATAAATGAACTGAGCTTGAGTGAGCTCAAGTATCATCTGGCTTGGTTTTTTAACAAGTTAAAATATTTTTATTTGAGGTGATCAAAAGTTTTCTGATTATAAAATGTTGTATTTATTCACTTTTGAGACCACAAAGATACAATAATACAGCAGCAAATTACTATAATGGATTATTTATAGTTCTTTTATTCCTAAACAAGTTCTAACTTTTGATAAATTAGAAAGCAACACCATTCTTAATAACCTTTGAGTGTTAGCTTAAAGATTAAATTGTGGTGATCAGAATCAAGTTTGATTTAATATTGCTGAACAATTGTACCAAATTAGGGTAGTATCATCTATGGACAAATTGAATTGAGCTGTCACAGAGATTGGTTCATTAAGGCTTTGTTTGTGACGGTTTTTTTATTGCTTATAAGGCAATTTTTTAGCAAAAAAATTAAATTTTTGTGCTAGAAAGTTGTTTTAAGCAGTAGGAAAGCCGTCCTAAATGAAGCATAAGATTCTATTTGAGACATTTTTTTATTACTTTTTAAAGTAATTTTTTAGTATAAAAATTTCTAAGAAGTTATTTTAAAAAGCAGTAAGAAAGTTGTCCCGAATGAAGTCTAAGTGGCTTGTGTGTCGAGCTTAATGAACTGTAAGTCCCACTTTAATGATTAGAAGAACACATCTCATTGCAACCCAAAAAAAAAAAAAAGAGTTGTTTATCAGCTTCACTTGCATATTTGCAATGTTATGCCTTCAATTTTTTCTTCATCCATTGCTCATTCTCTTCACAAATTTTTCAAAATTTTCTTTCCATAAATCCTACAAAGCGTTTAGGGTTTGGTGACCATGTTATGTTGATCCTTTAGAAGTGTTAACCCTCTTTAGAAAATTATTTGGAAAGATGATTTGTCTATCATTTCATGTGTTAGAACTCCTTTGGTTTTCCAGGATTTATTTCTATTTTTCTTTTCTTTCAATCTTACGAGAAGTTTACATCTCAGATGCTACTTAGGATTCATTTGGGATAACTTCTTTACTGTTTTGTAAAACAATTTTTCAGTAAAAATTTTAAGTTCAAAAAATTATTATACAAAAAAATTGGTTTAAATAGCAGTAAGAAAATTGTTCCAAATGAAGACTTAATATTGATTCTTTGATGATCAACATTATGCATTAATTGATTAGCATGATGCAAATATGAAAAAAAATGATGCACATTATTATCATTATCTATTTATGAAAAGAATACAATCATCATCAATTTATATAAAAAAAAAAAAAACTATTTTGTGAATTTTTATGTTGCCAACTTAAGTATGGAAGAAATTGATTTACAATTATGTTTATTATGTATATTTGAAAAGAATGCAACTTCAATTTTATTTAACAAATATGAAAAAAACAATGAACTTTTTTAAAAAAGAATGAACTATTTATATAAAAGAATAAAAAAAAAACAATGTTAATTTTTTATTGCAACATTATGTAATTATTATTATTTAGGTTCTGATTGTGATAATTTTTTTGTTGATTTCTAAAGCAATTTTTGATGCTTTATAATCAATGATCATTTTAATTACACAACGTGGCCATAAGTTATGCAAAATTTTGGAGCTTTTTTCCTCTATAAAATTTTATAATAATAATAATCTATATTTCAGTGTTTATAAATATGAAGGAAGTTTTTAGAAAATAATATTTGGTCAAAACAAGTTAGGCATTGCTTATATGTAATGAAAGGTGAAGTTTGGTGGCTTCTTTCCATCAGAGTTCTTCGATAAGTTTCCTAAAAGGTATTATTTGCATATTTTTATATTGTTATTTTCTTTAAATAAAAATGAATCTTCTTTACATATAGATATATATATATCATCTTTTTGGTATCAAGAGTAGCCCACGTCTCACATTTACATTACTTACACTGTATTAATCTCCCTCACATACACCAAGTAGGCTTTTATTACCAAAGAAAAACTAGCAATCCTCAATGGTGTAGGTTAACATTTACTATAGATTCTAAGGCTTATTTTTGGGACTACTTTCTTGCTTTTATCTGTAGCAGCTCTCTAGTACAAAATTTTTTAGTTTAACAATTTTTATACTAAGAAGTTGCTTTAAAAAATAATAAAAAAGTCATCCCAAACAAAGCCTAAAGCTTTATTTGGGACGACTTTCTTACTGCTTCTTAAATCAGCTTTCCAGTACAAAAATTTAAATTTTTGTACTAGAAAGTTGATTTAAGAAACAGTAAAAAAACCGTCCCAAATAAAACCTAAGTCACATTATTAATACTTAAACTGACCTAATCATATCTAACAGAATAGCAAGCCCAATCCTTGAACACATTTTAAACTATCATAACTTGATCACGACCACATAATCAATATATCTTATTATAATGAATTTTATATTGCATTCCTTTAATAGTTATAGGAAGATGAGAGCCACAACTTGATATTATTCATAGTGAAAGTTCATCATCTAAGATTGACCTCATGATTTTGTACTTTGATTTTTTAGTATAAAAATATTATATCTCCAATATTTCTTCTTTTAATTATTTATATGTTAGTGCAAAATATTTTGAGCTAAGAAGATGGTCAAAACCCCACTTCATTATTTTATTTCGTAGGAATATTTTTGACATGCAAAAGTCTAAGAGAATGAAGCATCAAGCGTGAAGAAAGTATGAAGGTTGATGTGCAAGCAGAAGAATAAGGGTCCGTTTGGGGTGGTTGAAGTCTCTTGTGAAGGTGACTACAAAATTTTTGTAGGGATTTTTTTTTTTTGAAAGCTGTTGTAAATTAAAAGTTCAAATAGAAATTATGATTGTGATCAGAAAAAGCAGAGGAGTAAGAAATATTTTTCAAACAAACCCTAAGAGGGGGAATAATAAACATAAAAATCTGTGTTTTTTTATATTAAACTTTAGATTTTTTTTTCTTTTAATTTAAAAGATTGTTGAAATGTTTAGAAAGAATTTTGCTCAACACTTATGATGTTGGCTCTGAACAAAATTCCTTGATCATGGTACATGAAGGTTATTATTGTTGTTACGTGCTAAAAAAATTTTAGCCAATAGAAGGAGATAGTTCTATGTTATAATTAAGTATGAAAATATAATAATCCAGTATTCTTAAAATAAATTTTTCTGAAAAATATTAAAATGTAGATCCTACATGCGGTACTGAGGCGCTGTGCTGGCAAGTGCAACGGCGCAGCAGCACTATGGCATCAAGAACTACCGTTGTTGCATCACAATCTCTATTGAGTCTATTCTATAGTAACTCTGGGATCGACATGCAGCAAAGTGGTGCTGTGAAGTTGGGCGTCGTGACACTAGGCACTAAATCAACTTTTTAAAATACTTTCTATTAAATATCCTTCACCCCCTTCCCCATTCCCCAATTCCATTTGCTTGTGGGGAAGGAAAGAAAGGAGTGGGGGAAGAGAGAGAGAGAGAGAGAGAGAGAGAGAGAGAGAGAGAGAGAGCTCTTCAGTCTTGTTCATTCATCAACCATGTTACAAAAATTATTTTGATAATTGAAAGTGACATCAATTCTACTCATGTTTTCATTGATTTTGAGTTTGGTATATTTTTTTTTTCTCCTGAAAGTGATAATAATATGATATCTCTCATTTTAGTAAACTTTTACCATATAATTTTTTATA